GTGAGGTTCCTTGCACTCATCACCCGATTATGTGCACGATTCCTCAGTAGCGGCTTCATCGCCTGATAGCATCTTGCTCCCAGGTTCCGCTACCGTTGATTCGACCTTTCAGTCGAATTCCAGTGTTCCTGAGGAACTTGCAGAGGCTATCGTCTCTCCTGTCAGCATCGTTGGATCTCCTCCAGCCACTACCCAAAACGACAGTTCTAGGTCGGGGAAGCCTACCCGACAGAGGACATGTCCTGCTTGGATGAGGAATGGGGAGTGGGTTACCAACTTTGCTATTGCAGTAAACAATCCAGCCATTACCGAAGTGTTTGTATAGTACCATGGTATTATGTTGTATATAATTGTATTCAGTAGTTTCAGTCATGTGTTGCTCAGGTTGTTTCTATGTCTGTTTTCGTTCAATGGTATTAGCGTCATTGACAGTTGCAATGTCCATTGTTGAATTTAGTGGGCATCAGTTCATTCGAGGAATTCTCGTCCTGGAATTATTAGCCAGTATTCCGTTTTTTCCCAATGATTTCTTTTCATTGGTCATTTTAAATGTTGAGGACAACATTTCCGGAAGGTGGGAAATATGTCGCCGGCGGCCGTATTTCTTCTTTCCTCTGTCCCACGGCTGCCTCTCAACTATCAAATAATAAGGAGTTGTACCTGCTACCTGTATCTGACGCACAGGCAATTCACGAGCTTTTGCCTGTGACGTCAAGAGAACTTTCTATTGTCACCTGTCAGCCTCAGACGACGGCAGACAGATATCAACTTTTCATATTGTTGATGTTTCTAATTATAGGCAAATAAACAGCTTTTTAAACCACTTCGTCTCCTAATATTTGTCACGGACAATAAGAGAGCCGAACCTGTGACACATATATATTACATGTATAAACATCCCACTCTTCTACCCAGAGCTCCATGCGGCCAGCCAGCATAGTACCTCTGCCACAGGCCAGAAAGATGTGACAATTCCTCACATCATACACATTCCATTCAATATAATCTACATATTTTTTAACTCTTTTAGTTTTGATGAGTCTACACATCTTATTAAAAATCATTATTAGAATGGTTTAGTTTCACTGATAAAATATCCTAAAGCGTGTAACACTATTACGATTTGCGTAGCGATCCTTTGTTTACATGGGTTGTACGGTTCCACGTGCTGTCATCGAAGCCTTATGGAGAGCAAACGATGCAGCCCGTTTGATATATAAATATGTATTGTCATAAAGCTTCCTGTCGCAGTTGTAGAAGAATAATTATGTAACAATGTAAACCATTGTGAAGAACGCGCCGAATCGCTTGCTTTGGGCCAGTATGTTCTTACTTACGAATATGCGCGTTTGTTTACAAACAAGAGAGATGTACGGTCACGTGATATGCAAATTAGCCTGTGGCAGTGATATTATGCTAAGTCATCGCTGCGCCGGAGTGTGAATATAATGACTTCCATACAACAGGTTACAAATAAAGATAAAAACAGTATAATAACATAGGAAGCGGAAAGTGTAGTCCGTTTGACTTCATTTTAGTCCGATGAATTGCTCACTAACACAAAATGTAACAATGCAACAAAATCAAACTTTGCAGTGTCACATGAAATCGACAGACCAATTCTGATGATTTGTGTCATAATTTTGGAAACCCGAATAAAAAAGCTGTTCAACAAACGATCATTATTTTGTTGTCACTTTTCGCTATTTTTACGAGGGTGGACCACTTGCTGATAGAACAGCCAGGTGAGCGAGTTGTACGTGTGAAACTGAAATTTCACTGCACACGCTTGTTGATTACCTGGCTGTTATACTGCAAATTTCAGTAAACGTTTCATACAGTTCTATAACTATATGTCCTTATCAACTGATAACCTGCTCAAAGACGGTTGCTGGTATGTGAGTGATTTGAGTTTTACACCGCACTCAGCAATATTCCAGCTATATTGTCGGTAGTCTATAAATAATCGAGTCTGGACCATGCAACCCAGTGAGCAACAGCATGAGCATCGATCTACGCAATTGGGAACCGATGACATGTGTCAACCAAGTCAGCAAGTCTGACCACCCGAGCCCGTTAATCGCCTCTTACGACAAGCATGGGTTACTGAAGATCAATTCTAATCTGGATCTCTGGTATGTAGAATGCTGGTAGGTCGCATAGGGCAATTGAAAGTGATGTTGGATGTCATCTATCGACTATCTGCCTAGCAAATATCAGCACACGTTTGAGGTTACAGTTCAGGCCGAGCACAAGTGAGAACTCCTGAGGAGGATACAGCCCTTTCAGAATCACCATCTGTTCATGTCATGCAGCTTCCAAGTCGTGCCAACAGAATGGTACGGAATCTCATACAGTCGGCTGCGTATAGAGTCAGACGGCAAATCAGACGTCCATCGTTATCGCCAAAGCACAAAGCAGTACGACGAGCTAAGTTCAGTTCTGACTGCAAGTTTACGTGACGGAAAATGATCCTCTGGCCTGAGAAAAGTCTACATTTATTGTTCATGACTGACAGACGAATTCCTGTTGGGGGCAAGAGAAACTTTGCAAAAACACAACGTAATATGCATGTATTTAACTATTCCGTCATAGGGAGACAGGAATGCCAATTATGCGTCTTTCTATTTGCTCGATCTAGTCAGAACTTCTACTCTTTGTTCATACTGTAATACGAGTCGATTATAAACATACAGGTATTCGCGCATGAATAAGTGAAACTGAAAATACTCCATGGTCAGATGCAAGCAGGATTTCAATCATTAACAAGCTGCCATGGAAACATGTTGGCTTTCCAGTCAGGTAAATGTATTTGTGTTTGCTAAGGAGGTGTTTTAGTTCTTAACTTTTGAAAGGTAGCATGTTTACACAGTTGAACATGTTCATTGTGTGTTGCTAGCACTCAAGAACTAAAACATGCATATCATTGCCGCATATTTCACACAGACTTAACTTAGGCTCTGTGTTTACAACTGTGGAGACTTGTGTGAGATCGATATGCAAGCACTTTCTGTGGCAAATATGTGACAGAATCAACCAGTTCGAGCAAACAGAAAGACGTGTATTGACATACAAGGGAGGGGTGTCGTAGTTGGAACAGTGAAACAAATGCACGTGCGGTGCGTGATGAGCGTTAACTTAGATTTCCGTAGAAACAAACTTGTCTTGTTGTCGGTGTTTCATTTAATGTGCATACACTCCTGTAATACAAACCAATAATAGCGATTTGAAACTATGATTGATGGTTAAACAACTTTTATCCTCAGGCCAGAGGACCCTTCTCCGTCACGTAAACTGACAGTCAAAATTGAAACCTAGCTCGTCGTACTGCTTTGTGCTTTGGCGATAAGGATGGAGTCTGATATGCCGTCTGACTCTTAACGCATCCGACTGTATGAGACTCCTTACCATTTTGTTGGAACGACTTTGAAGCTACATGAAATGAACAGATGAGCATCGATCTACGCAATTGGGAACCGATGACATGTGTCAACCAAGTCAGCGAACCTGACCACCCGATCCCGTTAGTCGCCTCTTACGACAAGAATGGGTTACTGAAGATCAATATTCTAACCCGGACTTTCACGGGTTTCTCAATATGGACATGAAGAGACACATATGGATGCATGATCCTCTACCAGTTAGTAAATGCAGCCCAAGACCCGCTGATGTAGGAGGATGTGTATTGTTGGTGGCCAACTGTCTTTCACTCCAGACATCCTTTTATTGTGAATCACATGAAAGACCTCAATTCAGGTATAGAGGCATGTCTTTGATGTGACTCTAAAGTTTCACTCACTCTGCTCACTCCCCTACACGCTCCGCTTCCTGTTCCTCTAGGCTCCACCCCATGCTCCTCTCGGCTCCGCTCCATGCTCCTCTCCTCTCCACCCTCCGCATTCAACGCTCTGCTCATTGCGCTCCACGCTCAACAAGTCAAAACATTGATTACACAACAGTCTCTTTCCTGTTGACGACCCGTGAAGATCCGGGGTAGAATAGGTCTTCAGCAACCCATGTGCTTGCCATAAAAAGGCGACTATCTTGTCGTAAGAGGCGACTAACGGGATCGGGTGGTCAGTTTCGCTGACTTGGTTGACAAATGTCATCGGTTCCCAATTGCGCAGATCGATGCTCATGCTGTTGATCACTGGATTGTCTGGTCCAGACTCGATTATTTACAGACCGCCGCCATATAGCTGGAATATTGCTGAGTGCGGCGTAAAACTAACCTCACTCACTCACTCATTTCCTGTTGACTGGGTTCCGTCCTATTGCGCAATTTTGTACAATAACCAGTTCAGAATTTTGAGACCAATTCACTTAACTGGATACATAAATATTAATCAGTATTATTGTATACATCTAAGCAGGCAAGAATAACGGTAATAAGTTACGCACTTACAGGTTGTTTAAATAGATTGTAGACCAGGACTGAATGTGAGATATAATATGTCTAGACATAGGCGAAGTAATCTAAGTAAATTACGCTGTGGTATCTTACCTCTTAATATTGAAATTTGACGTTATAGCAAACACCATATGGCGGTGGTCTGTAAATAATCCAGTCTGGACAATTTTCAAACAAAAATCGTGATGCATTCCCACGCGTCTGTTTCATTAAGTCTTACAATTCTGTCAGAACATACTACATTGTGCTGGATACGAACCAAAAGTGTCAGAATATATCAGCCTGCACTAAACAGCAGCTCAGTGTTATAACGGAAACAACGTACATCATCTGAAACATATATGTACACTTACTTACACTGCAATATGATCAGCCATTTACTTAATTTCATATTCAGTTTGAAAATCGTACAACGTTAGCTGAATATCCAGGTCCATGTCTCCGTCAGGATCTACACTACAAGCACACACGTCATCAACACCATCACCCTCCACCCACCGGGTCTATGACTGAATGTCCAGACTGTTCGGGTAGAGGATCACGTCTCTGTAATGATCACATCCCCGACACCAGCCTTCACACACCAGGTCTATGGCTGAATATCCTGACTGTTTGGGTAGAGGACCATGTCTCCAATAGGAACACATCCTCCACACCAGCCTCCACACACCAGATCAATGACAGCGCCATCTAGTGACCGGGTAACGCTGTACACTTTGGACGCCTCTCCCTTTCGAGTCCACTCGAGCTGTATGTAAACAGACGTACAACAAACCAATTTGCATGACAAGCGTAAACTTTGCTATAATCATGTAAGCAAGGTGATTACATGGTCATAATAGTATGATATGAATAAAATAATTATTGAATTGCCGATGGAATTGTTCTTCATTCAAATATGCATATAATATTGAAACCGCATAATAACTATAATCAAACAATCCGTAAGAGTGGGATAAAATATATAGTCCAACTGTTTGGTGCAGAATCAAGATGGTTTGATGGACCCCTCTCCCTCTCTCATTGTTTGTCTCTCTCTCTCACACACACACACGCATACACATACACATACACAAATATAATCTGTTATTGTATAATAACTACTAACACAAAGTATCACCTACGTCAGTGGCGAACTTCATTCCTGTGCCAAGGGTATCAATGTGAAAGGTTCCTATTCGTTTGCATGCTGGGTCATGCGAGTAACAATCCTCTGCTTTACCGTACTTATGTGGCTTCGTCTTGTTCCCGCTGGTGAAGGTAGTGTCAGTTCTCACAATACTCATGGTCTAAAGCACAGAAATATTTACATATTAAAACTTGAAGTCTTACAAAACACAAACATAAGATTTTACTATTCAATAAAAATTTACTATGACATAAACTACATATTACAACTGTTTGCATTTCAGCTTTCCCATTGGAAATGGTTAAATTCAAACGTCACGCTGTCTGATCACAAAAACTGATTCATTCATATTCCCTTCGCACAATATGCTTGCTGAATAGTTAAACACGTTTGAGAATTTTACAGACTGTTGTTAGTTTGACCTTTTTTTCCATCAGCTCTCGCAGTTGCACAATGAAGTTACAAATAATTAGAAATATTGTATAACTTCGTAAAATAACTAAAATTATGACAATATGCCACTTACAAGAGGGGGAAATTCAATATCCCACCAAATCGATTCTGGTGAAACGGGTATACGCTTGACATGACCAAACACACAATCACAGCAGACTATAGCTTTCTGATATGCTCACTGGCTGCCGCTCGTGTTCCAGGTTGACATAATATACTGAGTCAAAAAAGAAACTTCACCAAATGTAATTTGAAAAATAATGAATAATTTTTCTCTGATGATACATCTATGTATCCGAAATGGGATCCCTATATGTCGACTCTAGAAAAACGTTAGCAAAACCCACTAAAACCCATCCATTCGTCGTGCAAATGACGTTAGTGCCAAATCAGGTTTTCACGAGCAGTCGATCAAGTGATCTTCTATGCACGTGTTTGGATTGGCCTCAAGAATTGAAAAAACACTTTTAAACCACAGTTCTAACGGTACTTGAAATGCCACGATTGTCAAATGTGCAACGTGAACGTGCCGTTGGCATGTTGCAAGCGGGAAGATCAGTTATTGACGTCGCAAGAGCAATGGGATGCAGCCGTCATACTGTGTATGACTTGCGAGGTCGTCTACAACAAACTGGCACCACTTCTGATCGCCCAAGGTCGGGTCGTCCACGTGTGACGTCACGAGCAGAAAACCGTCAAATCGTCCTACGTCACCTACATGACAGATTTCTGCCGGCTACACGAACCAGGGCTGAGATGTTTAGAGGTCGACTGTCCTCCCAGACCATTCGAAATCGGTTGCGGGCTGCCAATCTCCATTCTCGACGTCCACATCGTGGGCCAATATCGACAGATTCGGGGGCGGAAGTTGCATGGTGTGGGGTGCTTTCTGTGGGAACAACCGTTCCCGACTTCTGGTCATCCCTTGGAAACCTCACAGCTGCTGCTTACCGCGACCAGGTGCTCACCCCTGAACTCGTTCCTTTCATGGCGGCTCATGGCCCAGGTCTACACTTCAAGCATGATAATGCTCGGCCGCATACCGCGATGTTGACACGAAATTTCCTTCAAAACGCTGGAATCAACGTCATGGACTGGCCATCGAGGTCCCCTGACCTTAATCCAATAGAGCATGTTTGGGATGCACTTGGGAGAAGGCTTCATTGTCTTAGGAACCAACCTCAGAATTTGCAGGAACTTGGCGCTGCCTTGCAAGAGCAATGGCGCAGTATCCCCAACCACGTGTTCACAAGCATCAGGAAGTCGATGAGGAGACGGTGTTTGGCAGTGGTGAATGCTCGGGGCGGCCATACACGATATTGAACTGAGAAATTTCGCATTTTTATTCTTGTGACTTGACATTCTGTATACCCATGTTTTGGAACGGCGGTGTAGCCTAATGGAACTGATTATGGCACTGTCAGTGTATCGAGTACATCACACAGATCTCAGCAATGAAATAATAACAATTTAACCATCTTACCATCTCTTGTTCTTTTATAGTGCCCTGAAGAAAGAATGTGAAGTTTCTTTTTTGACTCAGTATATTTGCACTTAGATTGTGACTAAGAAGTTCTCTCTTGACAGACATTGAATTGTTTGATCGGCATTCTAGAGGGTGGTGAGTCAAAAATGAAACATACAACACAATTGGAAGAGGCCAGTAGGGAACTAAAAACAACAAAAGCAACCCTGTCTATTTGTTGTTACTACCTATACCCCTTTCTTTACTGGCTTCATCGCTAGTGCTATTTGTTGTTTTTAGTTCCCTGCTGGCCTCTTCCAATTATGTACCACTTGTTATTCTATTACATGCTGTTCTTAATGTTAATCTGCTGCTTGTCACAACATACCTTGTAAATATACTTCTCACCATTTGGTTGCAGTCACTTTTAGCTTGATAACAATGTTAGAATCTAAATCGAAACGTCGCTCGCTAAACGCAATAAACAAGAAGTTGTCATCCATAAAGTTGTATGTTTCATTTTTGACAGAAATTGAACTTAAAATGTGAACTTACTGATGGTATAATACGGATCTTCTGATACACAGTTACTCCATCTTTGCCAACACCACCAGCTATTAAATATGGCAGTTCATTTTCACAGTTCTTGTTCGATCTTTTAGGAAAGTTTCCAATATTCTCGTTTGGCAGTGTGACATACTCCAGCTGGTGTGTGCCATTCATCAAGCAGAACACCTTCACTGATATTCCTCTGAACTGAGGAGCTGAAGGCATGATGGTATACTCTCCACTTTGAGCAGCTGGGTTGTCTTTCCAGATCTCAGAACACGTCGTAGGATCTGTAAAAGAAGTAATAATAAAGGAAACCAACCATGCAGTTGAGGTAAAAATAGTGGATACGGTCACGTGTGCTCTAAGACAATTCTTTGAAAATAGGCTTTTGCTATTATAATTACTACATCATTCTCCCTTTATGCTGGCTTTATAATGACATTGCTTTAAATGTTGTACCGTCATTCTCTTTAGTATCATGATTTCAGTAACAAGCATATTGGGATCCAAGGCGAGGGGTATACAATGTTTTTGCTCAAAGAAATCTTTTGTACCTTGTTTGTAGGTGTCAAACAAACTATTGCCTGGGTTGATGACACCGCCAGATACTGGATCTGTGTGTCGTGTGATGCATAAGCGGCTTGCGTCTGAATACTGGAACTCTTGGCATGACACGTATGAACACAGAATGGCGCATGTCGTTAGTCCAAATACATTCTGGGCCTGAAGATTTTGAGCGTCGTCTAAAACGGCTGGAGCTTCACTGCGTATCTTCTTAAAATGAACATCTTTCAACCCGCATATTATTGAAATACAGATACCCACGAAAAAGGCCCTGAAGTAGGTTATATTCATCTGCATTTTGAACAACGGTCAAGATATTCACGGAAACTAAAGGGTCCTTTTCTGTACAGTTCTGTAAAACAGATCTCGTCGCCACAGAGCAAGTCACTGTTAAGAAGGCAAATATGATTTACACTGACACTGCATAATCATATGACATGAAACTTAGTTTAGATACAACCGGTGATTCGACGAAGCTCGCTTTGTTATAGCATTGATTTATTGTTGCTTGGCAACGCGTTGTTGTCTGCATTGCTCTTTACACCAACTGTTTTTCATTGATTTCAGAAGTCCCCTTCATAGCATCCGGATGATTCTTGTAAAGTTTGGCCAACATCGAAGTTTAGACACATGACAAATTGTAGTCTGCCTAATATAACTGTACAGAGAGTGAATTGACTGCAATATGATGTCACATTAGACAGATTCACTGCGGACAGGCAAAAACTTATGCCTGTGAAATAATGTCTGTCCATGGCTTTGTGGAGTATAATCGAGAAAGGCGACTGGAGACCAAATTCTGTGATGCTGGTAAAATTGATAGGCTGGACACTGCATACGAATTAGAGTGAGTGAGTGAGTGAGTTAATATTTAACGTCACATCGGCAATATTTCAGCCATATTGTGACGACAAAAAGTTATGTACTAAGAATAGACATATGTATACTTATTTAAAACCCTGCCAGCGAAGGACAGTATAACGACTAGAATATCACAAATCGATTACAACTAGTTTGAATTCAGTGTAAAATGTTACATTATTTCAAAACAACACAATATAAAATCGGGTCATAGATCCCCAATAACTGACACTTACCTGGAACTGCCGATCTGTTAAAAACTGAGATATAAATTGAGACAAACGACCTCTCAAACCCATTTCATGAATATGTTTAAAAATTCCATACGTATCATACGCTTTTACATAATCGAAAAATATGGATACAGCATGTTGTTTTTGATGATAGCATCCTTTACGAACGTTTCCAATCTAACTAAATGGTCTATGGTACTTCTAAGGTTTTTTATAAAACTACATTGAACATTTGTTATAAGATTTTTTGTTTCCAGGTACCATATCAGTCGGTTATTGACCATTCTCTCCATGGTCTTACATAAACAGCTGGTAAGAGATATTGGCCTATAACTAGAGGGATCTGTATGATCCCGGCCAGGTTTAGGTATAGGAATGACGACAGCATTCCGCCATGAAGAAGGAAAATTCCCAGTAATCCATATATTATCAAAGATACATAATAGTACTTCAAGACAAGTAACAGGTAAATGTTTTAATAGTTGATAATGAATATTATCACCCCCTGTTGCTGTATCGTGTGATTGCCCTAAAGCTGTGTGCAATTCATGTAAGGAGAAAAGTACATTGTAGACTTCATCGTTATCAGAATTAAAATTAAGTTTCTTTCTTTCTTCTTGGTCTTTAAATTTCTGAAATTTTGGTGTTTCATTCGACGAGGAGGAATGTTTGGCTAACGATTCCCCAAGTTTGTTTGCGATATCCGCTGTATCTGTTAGTAATGCGTTACCCTCCTTTTAGATGGTGAACACGAGATCCGGAACCTTTCCTTTAATTTTTTGTATCATATTCCAAACTTTAGACATTGGCGTTCTGGAATTGATTTTAGATACATACCTGTGCCAAGATTATTGGCGTTTAGATTTGCTTGAAAGTGCGTCGGGCTTTAGCATTTGATATCTTAAATTTGTGAACCGTCGGGTGATTGCGAAAATATTTTTCTGCCTTCCTCCTAGCTTTTCTAGCTTGTTTACAGTCGTCAGTATACCATGGTTTCCGTATGTGTGGAATTGTAGAGGATTTAGGAATAGTTTCATTGCAATTGTCAGTAATGTTTCTGAAAAGATCTGAATCTGGTCAAAAGTATTAAAAATTAATTCAGGTGTAATTGTACGTTGGCATAATGTCTCAAATAAAGACCAATTTGCCTTTGTAAAATCTTGATGAAGGTGGAGTATCAGCTGGATGAACGAGTGAAAATAAAGTTGGAAAATGGTCACTTCCACAAAGGTCATGATGAACTGACCATTCGAATTCGTTGAGCAGTTTTGAATCTGTTAGCGACAAATCAAGTGAGGAATATGTGCTTGTAGCAGTGTATATAAGTGAAGCATCATTACAATACATAAATCATTATTGGTAATAAATTCCTCTAGGACCTTACCCTTAGAGTTTGTGTGTGTACCACCCCAGAGCAGGATGTGGCCATTCAGATCACCCATGATGACACATGGTTTAGGTAATTGATCATACAATGACTGAAGGTCAGATTGCTGAAGAACGAAACAAGGTGGAACATACAAAGAACACAATGTAAACACCATATTTAATGTAAGTCGGATGGCAACTGCCTGAAGATTGCAACGCAATTTGAGAGGGCTGTGGATCCCTCCCTCCTTCACCAAGATAGAAGAACCTCCAGTGGTCCTATCGCCAGGAGGAGAAAAACAATGATATGAGTTGTACTGATGTAAGTTAATTTTGTCTGTCTGCTTTAAATATGTTTCCTGCATACAGAATGCTGGTGGTTTATAGTCTTGGACCAGTAATTGTAAATCATTAAAATTTGCTTTAAATCCTCTACAATTCCACTGAATCAAAGGTTGAGAACTATTCTTCTCTTTGGCGGATTAACAGGAGTTCTCCATCACCCATTTCTTTTAGGCGACAAAGTAGCAGTTCTACAATGGATGTTTTCAGAGACATCCATCTCTTCAAGTGATCCAAACTTGTGATACATTTTGATTGGATCATCTGATCCTTTAGCTTGTCTACCATGTTGACTTGAACGCGAAAATGTTGAATCTGTTTTATACCGTGTTTTAACAGTTTGTCCTTTTCCAGAATGTGCTTTTGGTGACGGTTCATGATTTAAACCTGGTGTTTTAGTTGCCGAAGAAGGTGGTTTAGTTGTCGTAGAATTTGAAGTATGAGTGTCTGGAATTTGAACAGCAGTCCGCGTAGCAGATTCAGATGATACTATTGGCTTTGGGTTAATAGATTTCACCCATGTCAAATCTGTCTGACATTGCATTGATACAGTCGATGTTGACACTACGTGTGTTTTGGTCACAGATGCATACGTCTCAGTCTGTTAGTTACTTGGCACAAGTTTCTTTGCTTCCATGTAAGTGATGTTTCTTGTGCATTTTAGTTTGTTGATTTCCTTTTCTCTTTTCCAGACTGGACACGATTTACTGGGGGAAGAGTGAGATCCAGAACAGTTCTTACACTTTTTGAAATCACTCTTGCAATCTTAAGTGACATGAGTAGTTTCACTACAGTGCGCACATGTGATATTATCTTCACAAAGGTAACTCCCTGTTCATAAACAATATCCAGTTATGACATATCTTCCAAGAGTCTGTCCCGATCTCTTATGATACCCCTGCTAGTATTTAGAGATCTATGTGGAGAAACATTTACAGGGACTCCCAACAAGTTCATCAATTGACATCAAGTTTGTTGCTTGTCATTTAGCACATTCAATAAGGATTGATCCTGTTCTCAACCGGTTGATATTTTTTACATCACCCGCTATCCCGCGAATGCCCTGAGCAAAAGCAAAAGGGTTCAGTTTAATTAGGGTCTTATCGGGTGTTTCCAGCACCAGGAATCTAGGCCAGTACTCCATTGATTTCGATTTGAGAGAAACATCATCAGTCTCAGAATCGTTTTCAAGCGTTCGCTTTGATTTTTTAATGTGTGTGTGTGTGTGTGTGTGTGTGTGTGTGTGTGTGTGTGTGTGATGTGTGTGTGTGTGTGTGTGTGTGTGTGTGTGTGTGTGTGTGTGTGTGTGTGTGTGTGTGTGTGTGTGTGTGTGTGTGTGAAAAGCCATGATTGTATGAATAAAGTTTCGTCATCCCCACTCCACACCGAGTGCCAAGAAAGGCAGTATCCTATTGCCTGTGGATGTCCAACAGACATATACTAAGGATATAAGGATGATATACACCAGTAGATAGACTTACCAGTTTGGCCCATGAGCCATCGCTTTCTAGGCACCATCATTTAGGCAAGTTTTCTCAAATTTGAAAATCCATGTATCATATATCATGTAGAATATATATACAAATAACAAAATAGTTGAATATTGTATCACAAAACCAAGCTAAATAATGACAGAGCAATAAAGGTTTAGTGCTCAGAGCTCGGCATGACCAGCCGATTGATTGAACCTGGCCCATTCATCCACCCGTCTAGGTGAAGTAAGGGGCAAAGTAGTGTGTTGGGCAAAGGAACGCTGTTCCTCGAACCATTGCCCTCAACCACCAGACTCCCGTCCTCCACCGA